GCGTCTGTCGCGTCTCGGATTTGGGTTCTGGGGCGTGACACCATGTGCAGTTCCAGTGCTACTTGTGCCTAAGAAGGATGGGACTTGGCGTATGTGCGTTGATTGTCGCGCAGTCAACAAAATCACTATAAAGTATCGTCACCCTATTCCTAGATTAGATGACATTCTGATATATAGTAAGAGTTTAACTAATCATATTGAGCATCTGCGAATGGTATTAGAGGTTTTGAGAAAAGAAAACTTGTTTGCTAACATTAAAAAGTGTTCCTTTTGCACAAATCAAATTGTCTTTTTAGGGTATGTTGTTTCAGCTGATGGAATTGCAGTAGACGAAGAAAAGATTAAGGCTAAAGAATGGCCAACACCTAAGAATATTTCTGAGATGTGGAGTTTTCATGGTTTGGCGAGTTTCTACTGGAGATTCATCAAGGACTTCAGCACAATTGCAGCTCCATTGACTGAAATTGTGAAAAAAAGTGTTGGATTTAAGTGGGAAAGTGGACAAGAGAATGCCTTCAATTTGATTAAGGAGAATTTAATTTCTGCACCATTATTTGCTTTACCTGATTTTACTAAAACTTTTGAAATTGAATGTGATGCATCAGGTATTGGCATTGGCGTTGTTTTGATGCAAGAGCGACGAATTGAGCAATATGCAAATCAGGCCAACAAAGGGTGCAAGAGAGTTGTGTTTGAACCTGGAGATTGGGTTTGGGTGCATATGCGGAAGGAGCGATTCCCTGCACAAAGGCATTCTAACTTGCAATCAAGAGGCGATGGACCATTTCAAGTGATTGCAAGGATAAACGACAATGCATACAAGTTGGAGCTTCCTGGTGAGTATAATGTTAGTGCTACTTTTAATGTTTCTGATCTTTCTCCTTTTGATGTAGGTGATGATTTGAGGACAAATCCTTTTGAGGAGAGAGGGAATCATGGGAATCAAGATGACAACATATCTACTACATCATGTGATACATTATACACCCAAGGAGGTCCAGTCACGCGAGTTAGAGCTAAGAAGATGCGTGAAGTTTTAAATGGCCTTATTGAGCAGATCTGGGTTGAAAACAACATACAACAAGCAAATCAAAGCTTGGATGATTATCAAGGCATGGTAAACATCATTCAGGTTCAAGAGAAGCTTAGTTGAGGTCATTTGCACGGAATTACAGAGTTTGCGTCAAAATCGCACAGTTCTGCCACAATTTGTAGCAAACTGATATTTTGTGTTATTTTAGGTTATTTTTTAGTGATTTTCACGTTTTTTGTATTATTTTTGGGCTGAACATTCGCTTATTTGAAGCCCAATTCGTGGTTATTAGGTTAGGACTTAGAGTGTTAATTTCCTATTCTGATTAGGATTTGTTTTCTTTATTTAAAAGGCTTGTAACCCTAATGGGGAGAGGCTATTGAATCTGAGATTTTGAGAGACTTTTCTCTTTGGTTCATTTCAGAACTTTACAGAACTTATCAAGATTATTCTTGTGGCGTTCTAACCTGACTTATCATTCTCGTTTTTAATCGTTCGAGGGTGTGACGTCAACCAACTTATACCTCTGGTTCTTGTTGCGTCATAGACAATGGGTCAAGGTTTTTACCTTTGGTTCTTGTTGCGACATCAACAATGGGTCAAGGTCCTATTATAAACCTGATTTAGCTTTCCCTGGAGTTTAGAAATCCCTTGTCGTGCTATGGGTCTCATTGTTCTCTTTGGGGTTCTCATCATAAAAGCTTGAGACACATCTTTGAAAGTGCGAATCTTCTTCTTGTCAAGTGTTGAAAACCAAACACTTACTAGGCCTGAAAGACTGTCTCGAAAATAATGAATGAGCACCCTCTCATCATTGGCATAAGGTGCCATCTTTCTAGCATAAATCTACAAGTGGGCATAAGGACAACCTGAGCCATCATACTGGTCAAAATCTGGCTACTGGAACTTGAAATTTGTCTAAATTCCCGAATAATAGCAAAGATCATCCAAATCAATGGAACCATAAGCTTGCGGCCCTTGCATAGCCTTCAAAGCCTCTTCTAACTGTTGCAGCTTGTGATCAACCTCTCTTGACTTCCCATCCTCAAAAGCAGGCCTTAACATCACAACCAAGGGGTTGGGTTGAATAGCTGGAACTTGTCCCATCAAAGGTGGTATGTTAAGGGTGAGAGGTGTGGTTGTGGGCAAGGTAGGGTTGTTCATCTCAAACGGTGGGTATGAGGCTTCAAAGGGCAAAGATGATATTTGTGGAGCATGTAAAGATGACTCCCCCATTAGAGGCTAATTCTCATAAATAGGTGGAAATTACAATTGTGTGACCATGGGATCCTTAGCACGATTACCTAGTGCAAAGTGAGACTGATTAGTTTGAAGAGTATCAGCCATAGTTTGCATTGTAGCTTCCAACTTATCAATCCTCTCATCCACGGCTGATTTCTCTAGATTAGTAGCAGCATTCTCCTCAGACATTTTGATTACTCTAGATCTGAGCAAATATGGAGAACATCGCTTTTTGAAGACCTTTCGCCTTGGAGCTATGATTAGAATAATTTTACCTAACAACAAAAATGTAAAGACAAAAAGAAAAAATTAGAAAACTAAAGAGATTTTAGCCCCTTTTGATTGGACCATTAGTTTCCCCTTCGAAGTTCCATATGGATTCCTACATCGACATTTCCATCTTGTATGAAGATATCCACCCGTTTTACAATGAGTTGTTCTAAAACATGGCTTTTCATTACTAAATAACCGCACTTTACACAAAGTTAGCAAGTAGTACAAGGTTGCATTCAAAGTGCTTACAAGCTTTCATTATTTTAAAGCTAAAACAAACTCATTACAGAACATAAACCCTAATACATCCTTTTAAGCACATTAGACATGTCAATGATTGTTGGGGTGTGCTGGTGATGTAGGTTGATGAGTCAACAGCAGTGATGATGTGGAGGCTGACTAGGATAACACCCGAGGAGATGAGAAGGGGTTCTTTCGGCGGCACCAGTCTCACGTGCACATGGCTACGTGCTACGGGCCATTCCGTTTTGTCCAGCGATGATATCGCACAGTTGGCTCCCCAGCCAAGTTGTAGAACATAAATCCCCTAGCCAAGCTACTGGAGCCAAACAACGGCAACAGGCTTCTTGTAGACTCGGAATGATTACACGACTACCAAAACCATTAATAAGAGTATGCATATATGGCTGGAAAGGTGATGAAGATGATAAACATATGGGGTTCAAAGATTACAATTTTGAAGCTGCCTTTACACATAGAACACCATGACATAGTATTAATGACACCAGATAAAACCCCTGTCATCTCTAGTGAGGATTTTCACTCTATAAGCATAACTCTCATGTTGAACACAAAGGCCGTAATGACCCTCCTTCCGAAATTTCTTCAAGAACAAAGAAAACAAGGAGGATAAACTCAAAAATAGTGATGGGAGAAGGAAAGGTGCTCGCTTGGGGCGCTTATGGGTGGAACTCTCAATCCCGTTTTTTGATGCTAACCATGTGGCTTGATCGTCTGATGCTCAAGAAGAATTACATGGGCAATGGAACTGTAAGCTGTTGTTTCCCAACCATTATATCTTGCAAATCCGGGAATACTCTACGATATTGGAGATTATCATGTGAGGCTTGAAGTCATTCCGCAAGGTCAGAGATACAAAGAAACGGTAATTTCTAGGTAGCTTTTTAACATGCGGGATGATGGATTACAGGTGGAGTAATTTTTATGAAGGAGGAAGAATGGGAAGGTGAGAAGAAGATTTGGGTTGCCCTGTGTGTCCCTTTTGGAATGGCAAGGGAAGGATGATATATGCAGTCAAGGGTAGTTTTGTAATCCTACTTAGTATGTCAGAAATGTATAGATGGGTCTAGGTGAGTTGTCAAGCTTAGAGTGGTTCCGGGCACTATTGACGATTGCTCTGGCGTTAGCATCATGAGTTGCCCGTTAGTTCCAATGAAGCTTCGCTGGTTCTAGCGATGGACTGGATACTGGTTATTATTGCAAATTCTCCCAGCCACACGAAACTCCGTTTTTGGGGGATGCTTGAGTGCAACTGGCAAAAACACCACCTGCACAATGATTTGGTGAGTTCCCCAAGCTCTGTTCGGGATTTTGGGAGATTTTGCAAGCAGATAGTGATCTTCCATAGTAGTTTCCAAGGCTATGAAACTTGTGCAGCCACCCTTGTATTAAATATGACTACAAGTTGCTGATGGTGATTCAAGCGGCATCTTCAGTTGGTCTTCAATGAGATTTCAAACCTTTGGTTAGCATTAAAGGATATTGTTCCGGGAATTAAGTTTGTTTCCACACCTTCGCCACCCAGCCTTTTCTTGCAAAATTGGGCAACATCGCCAGCACCAAGCTTCGCCAGCGCGAATGCCTTGTTTCGCCAGAAAGGCAACGTTCACTTATCCATACCTACCAAGCCACTACCCCATAGTTTATCCCAAGTAATTCCCATGAGCTTGGATTCACGGGTTTGTGTTTATCTGCGATAATAACAAAGCACATATGAGTATATATTTGAGCAATTTAGATACAAGCAATATGTGAATATACGTAGCGAAGAGAGGAACTCCCTTATATGTTGAGGAAGACCACGTGGGCAAATGTTCGTTGCTCCCATTTATTCGCTAGCCGTGGCAGGTGTTGCTTTATTGTTGCTATGCATGGCTGGCATTGTGCCAGAATAGAGAATGGATGACATGGGTGTGTGCTGCGATACCGTTATCCGAGGCCAAGCTTCGCTGGCTAGCGATATCTACTAACACTTAGAATATAAAAGAGATATGTTATAGATTGGGATTATTGTCGATCGGTAACTTTGTCCCTTTGTGTAGAAAGATGATGCTATACATGACCACCATGGATAAGTATTATGGGGTCAGCCATGGATAGCTTTCCCATAGCCAAAGAGACAATAATGGCTAGCTTCGTCCATGGTTGGAGCGTGAACTACGTGGAATTGGAAGAGCACTCCCACTAATTCACCGAGTCGTAAAGGGGTAAATCTTGTAAAACCAAACTTCGCCATAGTGATGAAGATGTGATAGAGAGAGATGGAGTTGTTTCCATGGAAAGGGGACGCCAGCCACATCCATGGCCTCTGATACGACAAGGTGTGATACTACTGACAAACACTAGCCTTTCTTGCTGTATCCGCACTGTTAGAGGGTGGTCCTAGTTATTGTTGCCTGCGGGGCACTACACCACCATGCACGGGCAACCGCCAAGGGACCGTCGGTCGCTACTTAATGGATTTTCCTCGTTGGAGGGTAGCCATCTCGTCCGATTGCAGGGTTGCAACTGTTACCGGCCTCACGCTAATCATACCGAGTTGCGCCAACTCTTTGTCCATTTCTGAGAGCAGATCTGGTCCTTTATCCATTGCCGAGAGCTATGTAAATGTAATATGATTAGCCCGTTGTCCATTGATGGGAACCAGTGATAAAGATATATAGGAGTGGATGCTCAGCCCATTGTCCATTGTTGGGAGCTATATAGATCAACCCATTGTCCTTTGATGGGAGCCATGTAGCAAAATAGGCTCTTTGTCCATTGTTTGGTCGCGAGATACAGTAGAGAATATCATTGTAAAAAACATGGCCATCAAGAAGCACCTAGCCATGTCGTCGAAATAAACTCAACCATGTCTAACCATGTGTGTGGAAATAGATGCTAGAGTGAGTCACATTCCGTGATATTTCCAACGAAGCGAATAAATGCCCCTTTCTGGCGATGTTGATTCCATAGTACTAATTAGTAGAAAATTGGAATCACACGTCATATGTGGGAAGATAAGTATTGTGGTCCTTTGCTGATGTGGACCCGCATATGTCATCAGTTACGCAGCAATGCAAATTCATCCCTCAACAATGATAAAGTCGATGATTAGTTGGAAAAATCCCCTTTCAATCGGATGGGTCCTTTGAGCAACGTGGTGATGAGTCTCGGCCATTTTTCCCTCGAATTGAGTCACCAAAGCGGTTATGTCGATGACAACTTCACGCAAGCCGGTATCCTCTTCAAAAAGATCTTGGTTCTTTTGCTTCTCAACTTGGAGTTGATAGTACATGTCCTCCATGGCAATCTTGTAAAGATTACGGTTGATGGTCATGTCTTGTAGTTGCTCTTCCAATTGCTCATTGGCTTTGCAAAGGTGTTCATTGTCCTTAGTTAATTGATGCAAATAAGAGATGGTTTCTTCATTAAGCCTTTGAGTACGGGCAGAAAACTCCAACAAAGCCTTGTGTGCAGAAGGTTGTGTTTTGGATGTGTTAGAATCCATATTTCTTTTCAAAGATCATAGATGGTTCTAACAAAAAAGACTTGAGAACTAAACACAAAATGACCAAATAAAGATATTAATAAGAGAATAATCAAAGATCGTAGCTAATGTATAATCAAATAAAATGCAAATGTGATATAAGGCTTGAGAATTAAAACTTCTATCCTAATCATGGATTTTACTTCATTGTATATACTTTTGACAAGGAAGAAAGATTGCATTCAGTCAAGTAAGTTTTCATTGTTTGTACAAAAGCTCCCAAGTAACCCATCTTTCCCCAAGCTCTTCAAGTTGTGCTCTCCTTCTCCCCTTGCTTTGACTGCCTTATCGTTAGTAATTCCTTTTGTAGAGCATCATAATCAGACAATAAGTTGTTGAGGGCATTCCCCCTTTTAATCACTTTTCCTTTCAACTCATGCTATTTAATCACTTTCTCCACAAGCTCTTTGTTCTCCTTTTCTCTTGCCTTAAGATCCACCTTTACTCATAGCAGCTTTTTCCTTTGTTCTTTAGCAAACTCCAAGCTCCTCTTTTGCTTCCCACAAATTTCCTTACTAATAGCCAAATCCCTTTCTAAAGAGGCAATCTTGTCTTTCAACCCTGCCACTTGTTGATCGAACAACTCCTACCCTCTTTTAAGCAATTCATGATCAAGAGCTAACTCATCATACTTCTTTAGCAACTGACATCTTTGAGCACGGTTAAGTTCCAACTTAGCAGCTAAGTCCATGATGGTAGAGTTTTTCGTATTTGTCACCTCCCATGGCAAAGAAAGCTTAGTTATCCAACTCGATCTACATTGCTTATACTGTGGTCTAGTCTCATTCTTTTTCCATATATGTGGCATCCTACATTTCTCTCACACCTCATGTGCTTCGGATACAATTGCTGGGGAAGACATGTAATTAAAGTGTGATGCAATGCGTCATCAAGATAGGGAACGTTTTGTGCTTCTCCAAACTGTCGAAATGCCAACTCCACTAAATATGTAACCCTTCCATGAATACCCAACAAAGGAATAGAGTGATATCCTTCAGGTGGAGCAAGATAATGAGTAGCATTCCAAGTTGGGAGAACAAATCCGACATCATTAACAGTTGCTGCTAGAAGTGATCGATGCCAATTCTCCGTCTTTTTATCTTTCACAGGAACGCTGAATAAAGCTTCAAATTGAAGACCCCTCAAGTGACCATG